GAAGAGCGGCACAGATATTAATATCCTTGGAAGGCTTATGGATAATTTTTAAGTGAAAACAGGTCGCTTCATGTCAATGGTGGTGGTTATATTTGGGAACAAGAGACTAAGAGCTTAGTTTGGGACAGCAGAAGCTGAAAGACTTAGAAAATAACTGGGTCCTGAAAGACTCAGATAGGGTTTGGCCCTGACTAGACAAGGATTTAATAACCCACCTCGGTGGGTGTAATAACCCACAGTGGTGGGCGCTAGCCATTTGGAGCAATAAGCCTAGAGGAGGTGCAGTCTTAGGGCTTGAGATCGCTGGGACAAAAAAACTATGCTATCTGTTGCATCAGTGAGGTGTGATTAAAACCAATGTAGTGATTGTGACGTGTTGGTAAATTCAGCATCTACAGAAATCTGGGCTAGCAAATCTGAGAGCTATAGTGCTTTGAAAATAACACTTACCATAAATAATGGAAAGACTGTTATTGCTAGTCTACAGTGATAAAGGGGAAAGGGAGGTAGTTATGTTCCCAGCACGTGAAGTTTCATCAGAAATGTTGGACAAGATGCATAATGCCTTCCACCAGTTTTCGAGTATGTTGTAGAGGTGCATGAGTCAACCAAGGCACAGAAACGCAAATTTGCCCAAGACCATAAAGCAAATGATGACTGAACAACAGAGCTCGGTTTCCTGTTTTGTCCTCCCTAACTTCTCTGCTAGACCTCTGTGTTGTCCGCACTGTGACAATATGGAATAGATGTGGATTACAGCCTACTTCTAGAGATTCAGCATATAAGAGATTTGGGGGTGGGGGTGGTGTTCCCCCCTGCTAGTGTGTGTACTGAAGCAAGGCGTCTAGATAAGAATAGCTGGCAGCTTAACCCACGTTTGAAGTGTCTCCTGATACTGGACCTTTAAAGGAAATAAAGAATACCAACAGCAAAAATCTACAAGAAAAGCAAAAATCTGCTCCAGCCGGTGCTTCTCAGTAAGATATCTGGAGACCCGGAACTGGCAGGGGTAACTGAGGCTTTTGCAATGACAGCAGAAGTAGGTGGCCGAGAGGCGTGTACTGATAAAATCTAATTGCCCTATCGATTGGCTTAGGAGCCACCGTCAGCTGTGGTAATGTTTGAGATATTCTTATGCGTTTGATGCATGTTAGCTGTATCTCACTGCTCTGGGCCCACTGGGGACCTTAAGGTATTACAGAGATCTCTTAATCATGGAGCAAACTTGCGTGTGTTGGGCCTGCTCTGCGGCACTACAGATTTATTACAATTACTACTGATGCACTTGGATTTCCTTAGGTCCCAGGGGGACCTGGGTTTCGGGAAGAGCTGCCCTGTTTGTAACTGTGAATTCTTAACTGGCTGAGGAAATCCATCACACTGGTTTAGGATTTTTACCCATCTGCACCCTCTCACACTATTCCTCCTTCCTTCTCATCTGGGTTGACCGTTGACAGGATCGTGTCCTCAGACTTTTCAGAACAGTGAACTTCTGCTTTCTCTGCCTCTCTGTGACTGGGAGTGGAGGTGCTTATGTTTGCAAAATGGAGAGCACTGGTTTCTGTAGGCCCTGGATAATGTCTGTTCACCAAATGGTTGTGCAAATTTCAGGTGTGCAAGCGTTCATTGTTTCCAACTCAGATTGAAAGAGCATTAAATTCTTGTGGAGGATCAGAGAATGTAGTGTAAAGGAAGGGCACTTGCCTCTCTGCCAGCTGTCTTGCTCTTCATTGATCAAAGTGATATCCAGTTCCTCTTTTGAAGTCTATGTTACGTCTACATTGGGTTTATATCCATCTGCTAGGTTTAATCTACTTCTCTGGCCAGTGTTGGGCCTTTATTTATTTATTTATTTATTTATTTATTTAATTATTTACCTGGAGC